CCCCCCCCCCCCCCGACTTTCTTAACCTGTATTTCAATCTGCATTTTTCTATGTTGTTCCAGCACTTGTGCCTGAGAAGTTTTGCAGCGGCATACAAGAGCTCCCTGGGATAAGGTTGCAGGGGGTATATGGTTGGAAGTAATGAGGAAATTCCTGTATATACTCTAAACGAATATACAATTCTAGTTTTATTATGCATGCACTGGGATAGGTCTCTTTTTAGGTGGCCCTGGCAATGGCAGATGGCACATGTCTTTGTTTATTAACATCGGTTCCTTTTCATCTGGGGCAAGCAGACCTTGTAGACGAACGCACGTACCCAATTTGAGTTGGTAGGTACACTTGTGTACAGAATTACAGGCTGCCAAGCCAGAAAGTCCCTAGAAGTTGAGATTTGTCTCATAGTTAGAGGCAAACATTTTTGATCGCATGTATGTGGACAGGCAGCCATGTGCTTCTGGGGACACAAGTCTTAGTTAAGTTCCCTTTGGCTGAGGATGTGAATATGACTGCGTGCACTTTGCACAGCTTATCTCAGTGATTCCCAAAGGGTCTGCCACAAGAGCAGCAGAAGCGTGCTGCAGAAAGTATGCTGCATGGGGCTTCGGTTGGGTCAGCCCCATGTGGTAGGATCAGGGCCTGGCTCCAGCATCCACATGGAGGGGTTGGACCTGGCTGTGTCTGGATCAGGACCCTCCATACTGGCTGTGCATGGAGGGATTGGGCCCTACCTGGGCCAGCCCTGTGTGCAGTATCTGGTCCACAAACTAGATCCAGCCCAGGGTGAGCGACACGTATCACCAATTTTAATCCAGAAAAAAAAATGCTCCTCGGTTATCAAAATTTGGGAAACGCATCTCGTTCCTGAGCATGGTTTTATTCTCTGTTTTTAGAGGTGCAGCGGAAGGCCACAATGCAATTTTTTGTGGCTGTTTTTTGTTTTTTTTTTCAAAAGGTTAATATGTGCTGACTATCTCCAAGCCGGCTTCCTTGGGACAGATAAGAAACATTTTGTGCTTAACACAGCTCTTTACAAAGAGCCTAAAACAACAAATACAGAGTCTATTGTTCACAAGAGCGTGCCAACAAAACACAAATGAATGTGGTCAGACAAAGTCCTCTTGTTTGTAGGAATACAAAGCATTTCTGGTGAACTTCCCTTTCTCCCACCCTCTCCCTTGCAACCTGTCATCTTCTAGAGATTGGCCTCAGCCCCTGCAGCAGTCGGCTTGGTCCCCGATGTGGGCTGCCAGCCAGTTGGAGACCGGTGCCTCCCGATTTTTTCCCACGCTGTACCTCTTCTGCCCACACCTGCTGTTGCCCCGTGTTTGGCATTTGGAGGTGCTTCTGGAAGGGGGAGTCTGGATGTGGTGGCATCCGGAAAACTGCTCATTTCGCTCCAATGTGTTTTCTTCTCTAGCATTTCACTGGTCTGAACTCCCAGCTTCTTCTCTCCTTCCCTCCATTTGCCACTGTGGCATCTCGTTAGCTTTCTGCTTGTTTGCTCCTGCACCACGAAACCAAACTGAGGAAGTTTGAGTTGTTTGGGAGGGGGGTGGTACAGACACACCGGCAGCTAAGCAAACTGACCTTTCTAGCAACTGCAGAGCTGCATGCTCTGTAGAAAATATGCAGTCCAGACTGCAGGTGGATGCACTGATGAATCAGAGTGCTGCTGAGGGTGTAGTTTTCCTGACTTTCTTTTATTCCCATCTAATAAGGAGCCTGCCTCGGTGGACCTCATGTTTCCTGTCTCCTAGGCACTGGCTTGAGTCATGATGTGCTCCATAGAAATTGCTGTTTCCCACACGCTGGGGTTCCTGGACTGTTTAGTTAGTCTTAGCCCTGGCCTGCTGTGCTCTTTCCTTGCTGGGGGCTTGCTTTTGCTGCAGTGTTAATTCAAGGGGTGACTTAAGTATCTAACGCAGCTCCCATTTGCGCACACAGATGGTCTCTCATTCACGTCAAATAGAGGGAGAAAGGTGGGGGCGGCAGGACTGCAAAGTCGGGCTTTACACTGGACTGCTACTACAACAGAGCTCTTCAGACACTGCACCTCCCTTTCAGTGCAGGGAAGGAGGTGGCACTGCTCTCTCCCCAGACGACGCATAGCTTTATTTTTCCATGCCTTGCTCTCAGCTGCATTGCAGAACATCCCTGGGAAAGGGACGGCTTCCCTGCAGGTGCCTGCACTCAGGGAGCCGACCAGGAAGGGACCGCTGCAACGGGAAGGAAAGTGCATCTCAGTTCAAACCACAATTGTCAGAATAAAATGGGCTTTAATTTACTTATGGCACTTCATAGGGCTCTGTGGCATGGTCAAAATAGCAGTCTAGGATGCTGAATCTTTAGGCAAAGACTGATCATGATTATATAGTGTGGTGCTCAGCAGATGTTTGGGAGCTCTTTCTTTTGCACCTTTGCAGAAGTTCATTCAGCAGCTCTAGCTGGTATATATCAAGTCCTCGGAATTGGTCAGAAACTCTCCGTTGGCCTCCCGTGGGACTTGAGCACCTAATCTGTTCAATACTTTTGCAGGTCATCCCAATCTATACGCATTGGCTTCTCCCAGACATGAGTGGTTCTGGGTGTTGTGTTTTTTAGTATAAAAGTGTATTGAATACATTTAGGTCTAATAGCAATATTCTTCTTTATTGTAATTCTGAAAAAAGTTTTATAACCCTCGTTCATTGTTTTTTTTGTTGTTGTTTTTTTTCTGGCAGGTCATAGTTGATACGCCAACCAGCCCGGTAACCAGTGGGCTTCCACTTTTTTTTGTAATCACTGTTACAGCTATCAAACAGGTAATGTTTTTCGTTAATGGGGGGGAAAACAGATTGCTGCAGTAATGTGTGTCTAGACTCTGTAGGAGTGTGAAACCCACTACAGACTGGTGAATTTAGCATATATAGAAAGACAAGGTTCTTTGGGTGACACTGATATCTTTTTATTAGACCACCTTAAACAGTTGGAAAAAAAATTAAGCAAGCTTCTGGGTTTAAAAACCTTCTGTCAGGCTGAGGAAGTCTCTGCAGCTGGTGTGTGCTCTTCCTGGATGGAATAGCTTGCTATGTCCTTAGGCCAACACAGCTACAACCTACACCTCTGCATATATAGAGGTGCATCTTTGAATATACACATCATTTAAATTGGAGACAGCTGTGATTTTAAACTTCTAATTTGAATGAAATCTATTTGGATGAGAATTCAAGTGATTTGGGGTTATATGTTCACCCTAAACCGCCTGTCCAGTTTTTTTAGCTTTAGAGTGCATTTTGCTGGTCCTCAGTGTGGATTTTGTATAGGAGCTATGAGGACCATATACATAATTTTGAAGACAAGTTGGTGGTTTAGTCCAGTTTGCCTTTTCAGGCAGTGCACTATTAGACTCTGTATTTGGCACCTATTTTGGGAGAGAGGTATGATACAAATCCAGCTTCTGTTCTACTCTAATGCTGGTGGAAAAGCAGCAGTAGATCTATCCAAACAACTATCTAGTGCTTAAAACTCCTGGGCCTTTTGCACTGCATTGTGTTAAGGAACTCCTCCCACCTGCACCATTTAAAAATAGCATTGTTTGCTGTATTTATCAAAGAAGCCAGTTGGGGTGAGGAAGGGAGCACTAGAGTAAAATCATATCTGTTAGAAAAATGATTGTTTTCATTCTTTAGCTGAGATGAGGAGAGAGTGACTTGCCCTGCCCAGCACTGGGAAAGGAAGAATTACTGAGTCCTAATCATATTATTCACATTATCAGCATATTCTTGCCAGTCTTCAGAATAATAGAAACATGCTACAGCAATTTAGCTGCTTGTGGCACTGAGTGCATAGAAATGAGTTTTTGGTTTGGGTTATTTTCATGTGCTCAGAATCTGTCAAATGCATCTTTTCTTTTTAATTGATTCAAACTGAGCTACTCCAGTTGATGCTCAGTCACGCATGAAGGAGCTCTGATGACTGTTTTAATGTATTCATCTGGATCTATCCTGTCCTGCTACACCTGTTCTTTTTATATTTTATTTGTGTATTTGCTTCCTGATCCAGGCTTGACTCTTGTTACCTGTATTTGTATGCTTAGGGATATGAGGACTGGTTGAGACACCGAGCTGACAACGAAGTAAATAAGAGCAATGTCTTCGTTATTGAAAATGCAAAGCAAGTACGAAAAGAGAGTGAAAAAATTAAGGTAATAATTAATAGAGGGAGTGACATGCACATGTGGACACTGAAGCTACTGATGTGGTACACAATATGACCCTGTGTCTGAATTACATGCACATACTAAGGACCCCATTCTGTAGCAGTTACTTTTTGTCTCTTCGTGCTTCTCTCTTTGCTGTCTCAGGCACCAGAACCATGCCAGTTAATAGCTGCTATTTGCTTTGCTTCTGCCTGGACAGGTTTTTTGAAATACTGTCTTGTAGACCCTTTGCTGGGGTGGGGGGAAGGACAACAAATTTCCCCTTCTTTTGCATCTTCTGGGTGGCTTAGGCAGTCTTTCTCTCTTCCCAGCTTCCCAAAGATGCCTAGAAAGATTTTCCTTAGCAGTAATGCTCACTTATCACACCTTCCTTTAACGAGGTGTCACTTTTCCTCATCCACGTTGGCACCCATTGAAGCTGCAGAGTTATCGTCCATTTGAGAACTGAGCTGGGTTTAGCACTGCCAGTGGAATGACCCGTAATGCTTTCAGAGGGGATCCTTGTCCATGAGTTTCACATACACGTCTGCGGTGGTCAGTTCGGCAATGGGAGGAGTGAAGCCTTGGGACGGGGGCTTTTTGTACTTTGTCAGGCTGGCCCCTCTGCAGCAAAAAGGGAAGAGGAATCCAGAAAATATCAATCCCTCTTGTCCCAGTAATTGCTGGGACAAGATTGTCTTTCCTATTCAGACAGGAGCAAGCACTGCTATCTTCCCAAAGCCAGGTTGTGCGGGAAAATGGTTCAAAGTGAAATGGTCAAACCTTTAAAGCAAAGAGCTTGTCACCTGAAGATCTACTGTGTGCCCATAATATATGTAGAGGAGCAGGGGTACCATAAAGAATATGGAAGAATTATCTATCCAAGTCCATTGAGCTCGCATGGGAGTGATGGGACCAGCATCATGTCCAGCTGCCTTTGACTCCCCAGCCTAGATGCTCAGATTCCCATGCACAGCTGGAAGGAGCTTTTGGCATGAGTCTAGAGCAGAATTTGAACCCCTGCCCCAGAAAGCTAGTGAGGTACCTAAACCAGGGAAATAATTAAAACAGAGAAGCCAAGAGTTTGGGTCTTACTGACTTCATTTCAGTGTTCAGCTGTTCTATACTGTCATGCTGTCTTAGTTTTTTTGTCCTCTTTGCGTCTGGTTTGATAGTCCTACAGACAATCAGTGCACAACGTTCTTATTTAAGTGAATGAAAAATAAGTGTGGAATCGCTGTAGGTGGAATAAATGTATGGCTGCCATGTTATACAGTGTTGATGGTTAACTGGAAGCAACAGTTTTAGTCTGTGATTGGGGACTTATTGGGGTACTTGCACAATTGGTTTGCAGTTTTAAACTGCTCCTTTGCCTGGCAAGGATTTTTCTTTCAGCCCTTGAAAAACAAGTTAAAGTCTCTTTCTCAATAATCACCCTGAGGGCTTTATGAAACGAATTATTAAGTTGATGGCCTTCTTTCCAGGTTGGGGACATAGTAGAAGTGAAAGCAGATGAAACCTTCCCTTGTGATCTGATCTTCTTGGCATCGAGCAGTCCTGATGGGACCTGCTATGTTACTACAGCCAGTCTGGATGGTGAATCGAACTTCAAGGTAACAAAAGGAAAGTCCATGGGGTAAGATGCCAAAGCATCAAGTCCGTGCCCTGGAGGTGCTCCTTCTGCTCAGATTCTTTCATTTGTAATTAATCACCCTTTGTGCAGTGTGTATACCTATGGGATTAACATGAAAATGCTCTCAGCATGTGCAGCTTGGCTGTAAATTGGTTGTTTCTTGCATCTGTGTCCTATATACGCTCATCCTGTATACACTCATGTCCTACATACACTCATTCAGTTACTCCGCACTGATGCACAACATGGTTGGTTTCCTGCTAAGACAGTCATTCCTAATGTCCCCGTTTCAAACCGTAACAGGTCTTCATTGGTACAACTTGCTGGCTCCATTGCATAGACTCCTACTATTCCCATTTTCATCTCCTGTCCCATGTGGGAAGATCTCATGAATTGAGACATAAAGCACTATAGTTTTATGTGGTTTTGCCATAGCTCCTGTCTTGTGACCTCTCTATATAGGTTTATGTCCCAGGTTTGGTCATCACTCCTTGTACTTCTCAGAGTGTGTTAGTTGTTCTCCCCTCATTTGACTGACACGGCACAGATTTGATCTCAGCTTATAGATGAACCACTCTAAAGGCTGCTTTAGGAGATGCTCTTTGAATCACACTGGGGGCCTTTGGGAGAGTCCTGGAGTAAGAAATAAGCTACATTTTTTTTGCATTCTGATGACCTGAAAGAAGTGAAGTTTGACACTTGAATCTTCATCAGTTGGATAATTCTGACTTGGATGCTCTTTCCCCTTTGCTCTTCCTCCCCAAAATGGAAAGGGCTTCCCAAGGGTATACAACTTTTGTTTGTCCCATGCCTGGTAATAATTTATGTAAGCAACAACTCCAGTGTAACACGTGGGACAGTGTTAGTGTTATGAGATTCCTTCAGTTGGAGCATTACTATTTCCTCAACGTGTAGTATCACGACTGAATATAGCTGTGTGGTTATCAGCAATGAAAGTCCTGTGTAGATGCTGACAGTGTGCTGAAATAACTGTGATTTTCAGCCCTCCCCAGCTATGCAGAAATGAGCATTGCTGTTACATTTCTTACAAATTTCACTGGCCAAGTAGCTCTGGGTCCACAATTTTACTGCTTGGACTTGCAAAGAGGAGTGTAGCTGTTAGATAAGCTCTCAAAGGCTAAATAGGCATTTCTGTGGTAAACGGTATTTAAAAGTGTGTCATGCCAATGGACAGGGATGCACTGCAAGGCTGCTGTTACTTTGAGAGCCTTGACTCTTTCCTTCCCTGACTTGTGAGCATTTCAAATATAGCATCCATAATTAAAGCCTGTTTCACCTGCCCATGTTGAAACATTGCTTATGCAGCTGCTTAGGTGCAGTTTGGACTCTGCTTCCAAGTGGGGCAGAATAAGGTCAACTTGTACATGCACATGCCAAAAAAAAAGGGGGGGAAAGCCACAAGCAGTGTTTGATCTAGTGGCTAGGGTACTTTCTCAGAGGATGGATAGACCCAGGATCTAGACCTCCCTCACCTATGAACCTGAAAGTTTTGCTATCCAGCAAAGTACTCTAACCACCAAGCCAGGGGTAGGTATTGTTCAGAGCACTCTGCAGCTGCCCACTGACCATGTATTTCATACTGTGTGGATAAAAAGCTTTTGGATAGCTTCTGCTCCATCAGGGTAGAGATCCAGGCTAGATCCCACCTATTTCACGGAGTCACCCTCCCCTTCTCCCTGAGCACCCAGGCTGTCAGCCCTTAAAGGGTAGCATCCCCATCGCTGAGCCACCCTTCAAGTCGTCTTGTTTGCTTTCTCCTAGCCCTTGTTGCCTTCTTCTCCTGGCTGACCGGGATAAGAGCTTCAAGAGGAAGGCTGGAGGATATGTTGGGAAAAGCTTAGCCCATGGCTTCATCCTTGGAGTATTTGGTTAAGAAGCAGGAGGTGGTAGGTTCAAGCCCTCTTAGGGGTTTGAATGAGGGAGTGATTTTTTTTTTCTCTCACTTGAGCAAGTGTCCTACCCACTAGGCTATTGGCCTGTAAGTGAAAGGGCCATTTTCCAAATGTCTTATTCATGTGGGTTTTTTTGTAATTAAAGCTGCAGGACTTGCCCAGGCAATAATGTTCTCCCCTCCACCTACAAAGCAGGCATCTCTGTAGCTGGGGAGCCTTCTGGGCATGCCCTCTCTGGAAGGGACCACAAATATCACGTAAGCATATGAGGTGAAGTGGGATTTCTGCATTAAGCATCCCATATAGTTTTTGCTTGGCCTGTGGGTTTCCAATAGAGGATTAGCTGTTTTCTCCTGTAATGTAACAAGAATGTGATAATAATGCAACTGCACAGGACAGCATGTCCTGAAACAAAGTAGTTACTCCCAGTAAGCACCTAGGTTTTGCATTTGTGGTTAAGGGAGGAGGTAATGCACACTATCTTGCCTGTCTCGCTGGTGTGATGGAGAGTCGTTTCTATAAAAAGAACTTGAAGGCAGCAGAATCAGATTCTTCATGGGCTTTCCGGCTAATTGAAAGAAATGAAATTTCTCAGCGGTAGCTACTAAATATAGCTCCCGGTTCTGTCTGTGCTTTTTCCCCTCCCCTGGCAGCAGGGCTGTTTTTCTAATTACCTTCAGAAGCAGCCTGCGCCACCACCTCAGTGGAGCTCACCACCTGCTGAGCACCTGGCGCTGGCTTCAGAAGTAAACAGAAGTTGCAGGAGATCTGCCTGCCTTGGGATTGTGCTCTGGAGGAGCAGTCCTTCTGCCCTCTGTTTGCACGTGGAAGAGGGCCTCCTTGATTAAACAAGCCAGCAGCAGACTGCTGCAAAGGATCTCTTAGGCCTGCTCATCTGGATCTCTGTCAGGTCTGAAGCTTATGATAAGCTTCACTGTGTATCACCGGTCCAAGGAAGTTCCTAAAATAACTCCATGGGCAGAGCAAGAGTGAGGCTGGAGAAATCCACAGGTGGAGACGTCCTGCGTTCTCGGGCATCGGACCTGCACAGTCATTTCTAATTGCTCTTGTTGCTCTTGCCTAGACTCATTATGCTGTGCGGGACACCACGGTGCTGTGTACACACGAAACCATAGACTCCCTGGCAGCCACCATCGAGTGCGAACAGCCTCAGCCTGACCTCTACAAGTAAGTCTGAGAAGAGTTGCCACTGCTTCTCTCCTGCTCGTCTCTGTTGTTTATCTAGCCTTTGGTGTCTTCTCTCTACAAAACAGCTTCTCTGAGCAGGCCAACGGCTGAGCCATTGGCATGCTTTTATCACCCGAGCATTGGGGAGCTTGCTGCTGCATGGAGCTCTCAATGGGACACATTTCCTCAAGGAATAAAAGACTCTTCAGGCAAGTGCAAGCTGCCGGCCCACTTTCCCAGCCCAGGCAGGACTCATGTCTTGCTCCAAGTCAGACTCAGACCTTCCTCTGGGCTTCAGCTTGTATTGCTTCACAACAAGATAATTCAGCATTAGTCCCACTATAACCTCAGGCCCAGAGCCACAAAGGTATCAATGTCAGTAGGAAGTTACAGGTCTGAATGCCTTTGTGGATCTGAGCCTGTTTCCCCTTCCCAGAATCTGCAGGGATGTATCTACTCTGTCCAAGCACCCACTCTATATCTCTCCTCCCCAACGTGCTTCTTCCTGGCTTTTCTCATCACCTTGACTAAGTGAAGCTGGCCCAAGGTCCCTATAAAGGGCCAGCCACCCCGTGCTGGCAGCATTTAAGGATCATGCTGAGCTGCAAGACAAATCTTTGTGGGAGCTTATTTTTTTTATAGCAAAGCATCCATTCTGCAAAGACTCCCCAGCTCGCCTCCCAGAAGTTGTGTTCCTGCCCAGGTCCAACTGAGCTTTACTGTGGTTTAGTAACCTGGTAGTTTTATTTTCATAACAGTTAAGAGAGTGAAGAGAAACGTTGGCCACAATTCAGCAAGGGGTTTAATCACATCAATAACTTGGGTGAAGTCAGTGGAGCTCTTCCCAGGCTAAAAGCACAGCATTAATCTGTGATCAATCTCACAGTATTTATAATCAGTTCTTCCAAATATGTTTCTGCCTGCATAAGAGCATAAGGCTCTTCCAACCACTCGTTTGTTGCTAGACTTCCACCTGCAGGCTATGGTACTCCTTGTTTGTGATGCCCTATCTATAGTCAGACATTCAACAACGCTCAGTTAACAGACATCCTGTTGTATATTTTGATCACAGATTTGTTGGAAGAATTAACATCTACAGAAGTAACCAAGAACCCATAGCCAGGTCAGTGTGCTCTTCAGTTGTTTCATTAGCCCTGATCAATACTCTTAAAGTCTTTAAGTATCTAATGCCCACTGTTGGCTAAATTCCTTTGAGGACAGGAGCGCTTATGGATATCTTCAGGTGGCCTTTGTTTCCCTGATTACATCCAGGTGTCTCATTTATCGAAGGGAGGCTGTTGGGATTCATAAGGCTTCACCAGCCCCATAACAAACTCTGCCTTCACTCTGAATATCCAGAGGGTCTAACTAGGTGCTGTCTTTGTACATGGCCTGATGGTTTTTCTACAGAAAATGGAAGTGTGGGCGAGCAGATAGCAGTTAAGTTAAGCAATGTTGTTTGACTGCATGCTGGGTTTCTACCATGCAGGCTGTTCCTATGCACAGAGTGCTTATTTCAGACCACACATTGGCTTGCAAGACTGATGTCACTGCTTGTGTAGTGACCACAGCAATATACTCAGTGCTATGGCAATATACTCAGTGGTGTGCAAAGTTAGAACTGAAAGACAGTTACTGCCCCAGTACAGTTTCACAACAGACAGACATGAAAAAAAATACCCAGTAGAAAGCCCAGAGACCGCTAACTTGGCATATTGATCTCCAGCTCTGCCTCATAACAGCATTCTCATTATGAGTCATGGGAAACAACCAGATCA